GATGAAAAAATTAGGAATGGGAAAAGGAAAGGGTCCCCTGATTCGTCCTCCTGCAAATCCGGTGGAGGAGAATACTGCGGAACGGGAGGGCAGAACGCACAACCGTAATGTTACCAGTTCTAAACGTCGTGGGGAACGGACTGGTGCTTTTGTACAACCGCGTACAACAACAACAACAACAACAACAACAACAACAACAACAACAACAACAACAACAACAACAACAACAACAACAACAACAACAACAACAACAACAACAACAACAACAACAACAACAACATCAACAACAACGACGACGACAACAACAACAATATTACTAAATCAAACACTAGTTAGACTATCCCACGCTTCACGTCGCTCCCGCAATGCATCTGGCAAATATGCAACAGTATGATTGATGTATCTCGCCCACTGCAGGTTAAACGGAGGAAGCGGACAGTTGTCATTCAGCTTCAGATACACAAAGTGGCTTCCTGCTTCAAGAAATAGTATAGTCATCTGGTAAGATAACTGTGAAACACCTTCGGGAGCCCAAAGTGGCAAATAAGTCTGATTTCCCAAACTACTAGCCGACAAGACCAACGCGTTGTAATATGTTGCTACAACCACGCCCACGTCCGTGATCGTCATCCACTTTTCCAGAGGTGCTGGAGCGTTATCCCAATAGCCGACACTCGCCAACACCCGATACACTGAATTACCACCTCCGAAATAATCATTGAAAAACGGCATCTGCATTCTAATACAGGTATACACATCCAATCTAACATCCATCCAATCATCCTCACTGTTCTTGACTGCACACGCCACGCTCCGATAACCACAATTACCATCCCCTAGAACGTCCGTCCAGGTCACAATCTCCGGAACGAGGCAAAAATGAAGTTCTCGCATCCAACTAGGTCGGGGCATTCGTCCCATTTCGGGTCCACTCACAGTCGATGAACGACCACGAGATCTCTCAGAAGATGAACCACGGCCTCTATTGCCTCTTGATCGTCCTCGTCTCGAATTTTCTTCGCCCGGGTATAATGGCAACTCATGTGCTGAGTCATCCCTCTGTGTGGAGTTGTTCCGCGGTCTACCTCTCGGGCGGTCAAGTACTGGTGGCTCATTTATTTCCGTCGCCCCAGGATGCATTCGTTCAAAAACGACATCTGCCACGTCCGTGATCTCAATTTCTGAACGTGCACGCAACTCATCAATTAACCCGTCTAGCCTGCCAATAGTCTGTGACCTGTGATCGGGTACAGAACCAACACTTTCTTCTTGGCCAGGCCCGAATCCCGAAACAAATGTCCTCCAAAAAATGTGGACATCCTCCGCATAAAACACACCACGTCGTGCATTCATCTTTGCGTCAATTTCATGTTTGCATGGGAGGCCAAGACATTTCCTCATGTAACAGACGCAACTGTCTATATCTTCATCTTTCTCATCGTCCAACATCATTAATGCAGAATGTGTTACAATTCCACTGGACAATATTTTAAATACGGGCACATTAATCGTCTGGGCCCGAATCCGCTTTGACTTCGCAAATTCTGCCAGAATCTCGTTAAGTTGATCTGCAATCTGTGTGTGATACTGTGCCCAAAATGTGTCAAAGCCACCTGTGGACGAAGCCAACCATCTCTTCAATGCTCTATGGTTGCTCTCCACCCTAATTTGATTAAAGTAGGTTATGTTTCAGTAAACAACATGACAGTGAGTTAAGTATATGTATTTAACCACTGATAAATAAATACCTGTTTGTCGATGTATTGCCCAGATGAAAAACTAGATCCGTCCATGCTTTTACAAATTTCTCTTTGTATATCAGCCAAGTGTCTTGGAGGTACTCAATCAACTGTGGATGATTCGCGTAATCGTTCACTAAAACTCTATAATTCCGGTAGAAATCTTCTTCACACACTGATGTTACCAAAGTTTGCCACGGACCGACTACAAAAGCAAATCCTCGACGCCTACTATTGCCAAAACACTTTGAAGCACGACGCCCCACATTCATGTTAATGTGCCAAAGACATAATAGATGAGGCACAGTCGGAAATACATTCTCTATCGCCTTTAAGAGCCCTAACTCGCGATCAGTCACGAGTGCACTAGGTAGAGTATGTGGGGGGAAAATTCTCTTCAACCTTTGCAACGCCCATGTATAATGCTCTTCATTTTCATGGCGCATAAAAACCACTCCAACAGTAAAAAAAATTCCGACCGGAGTAACACCAACAATCTCCAACAAAGGCAATTTGTACTGATTGGTTTTGTAAGTACTGTCAAGTAGTATAACGTACGGAAACTTACTTAACAATTCGACAGATAGAGGGTGAGCCCACATCAAATCGATAACTGCATGTGTCGTTTCATCTGTACGGAACCACTTGTAATAGTTATGCTCCTCAAGCAACCCAATCAAATGTTGCATCACTGTACGGTCACCCCTAGCTAATCTTCTCAATTTCGCCTTTTCATTGTATATTTGTTTCGAATAAGCATCGAGACCCAAGCCATTTTGTCTCAAGTTAGCCAAAATCTTCTTGGGCGGCACATGACTTTGTGAAAGATCCTTGATAATCTTCGACTCCGCTTCATTTAATGCACTAAGCCCATGCCCAGACATGTATATCGGAAAATGATTATGCTTTCCATATACTATTCTGAGCTCCCATCTATCATCCAACCGCCGGTCTCCGACGATTTGAAAACCACATTTTATTTTTTTGCTACCAGTCCTTTTCGAGGACGGCTCTGCGTTACTTTCTCGAGGCCCTCCGAACAGGTCACAAGTCAGACACACTTTCTTTATTTTGGGGGTACTTTTTCTAATTAATTTCACGAAAAGAGCTCTTGCAACGGACCGAGCCCAAGCCACTAACTCGTCCCCCGAGTCAAACAATTCAGTTGTTGTAAAATAATCGGTATGATCAACTTCAACTCTAGGCGTATTGTCCTGAAAATAATATTAAAAATTTATTAAAAAAAAAAAAAAAAAAAAAATGAACCGGACGCCCAACTCAGGCGCCCAAAGAAGCTGTGCACGCCCAAGTTGGGCGTGCAGTTGGCTGCCCGGCGCCCGCATTGGGCGTGGAGCTGCAAACTGCACGCCCAACTTGGGCGTGTACCGCTTCTTTGGGCGCCCAAGTTGGGCGTTTGGCCAATTTTTCGAGTTTTTTCGATCGAGAAGACGAAATTTTTACCTCGTTAGATCCGCTATCACGATCTTCATCCGATGAGCTCATTTGTGTTCGTATATCACACCAACAAGAATGATTTTTAAGCAAATTCTCTTCAAAACCTTTTTTTTCTAGAGAGATAGAATATTTTAATAATAACCGCGAATAGCAATTTTGCAACCGCGTAAAGCAAGTCCCTTATGTAATAACCTCTTGAATGTCAGTTTGTAATTACTTATTAAGTGGCAGTTCTGTAATTATTTGTTGAGTGACAGTTATGTAATTATTTGTTTAGAGATAATTTTGTAATTATTTAATGAGTGGCAATTTTGTAATTATTGTACGTCTGTATATGTGTGTCACAAGTGTCTGAGTATGTGCACAAGTGTGTGTCAAAACTGTATATGGGTGAAAAGTGTGTTGGAGTGCGTGTATGTGTGTGTCAAAAGTTTGTGTGAGTGCGTATCTATGTGTGTGTTAAAAGTGTGAGTGTATATTTATGTGTGTCAAAGGTGTGTGTACGTCTCTATAGGTTCGTGTGTCAAAAGTGTGAGCGTGAGTGAATATATGTAAATGTAAAAATCGAGTATAACGAATTTCGGATCCGATCCACATGAATCCGGACCTATCGTACGAGCTTAAAATATATATGAAAAACTAGTATGTAGTCTACTAGCCCACCAAGCTGAAACAACTATAATGCAACTATCTTGATTAATTATAATGAAGGACAAGACATAAGCATAATGTAAGAAGAAAAAAGTTGCAATTAAGCTCTCAAACGTTTGAGTCAAAACGAACACATTCAAAACCAAATAACGTTAGCCAGCCAATATAAGTCAACATACACTCAAAACTCCTTAAAGAGTAAAAACCAATCAGATATCTAAGAGAGAGAAAAAAAAAAAGATCAGAAGAAATAAGAATATGGTAATTTACATGCAATCTCATTGTCTCTCCATCTCAACAGAAAAATAATATAATACCGATAGATTGTTCATTTTCTTCAACAAATCAACAGAACGTTTCGCAAAACAGCCAAAGTCCGGAACGCTGTCAAATATCATCACCTTTGTTTCCACAAGATTTGTATCACCTTCGCCATTTTCGGTCTGAAACAAGAATCGCAAAAGATAAGCATGCAGAATATTAGTGGGTTAAACCAGCTATTAGCATCACAATTAAAAAATATAGTTCAAGTTCATTTCCGTAATCAAATGGGAATTACCCTCGATTATTAACAATATATCATACAACTGAAAACTAGACGCCTATGAACGAGTGTAACTAGCTAAACTAAATTGCCACATAATTCTACAAGAAAATAGAAAAAATAAAATCAAGAAAATTTTAGATAATACCTTGAGGGGAATTGGTAGCAGCATTTCCCTTGGCATTCGGTTGCGCCTGAGACAGTGAGCGCTGAATACGAGGAGAGCCTTGCCTTTCATTAGAACCAGGTAGCGAATGTCTCTTCTTTATGTAGATATCCTTGTCGTGCACATCTGGGCTCGATCTCGGGGAGCCATTAGCAATAGCTTTGGCTCTAGCAGACTCAGTTGCTTGCATGTAACTCGGTAGAGGATTACTGCTGCTACTATCTCTCGGCTCCTCCCGGTTATCGAGTTTCGCCGAACCAAATGAGTTTCGCCTCTTTGCAGTTTTCTGCTCCTGCGAGTGTTCTAAGCTGTTCCTCGAAGCAGAATCTTGATCAGAGTTCGCAAGGCTTTTATCGGCCGATGAAGAAGTAGCCCTGTTCTTGCGTTTGGAAGTGGAGTCGGTTTTCCCACCTTTGCTTTTCTTGGTTTTGACAGACACTTGGCTAGAAGGCGTTGCTTGAGAATCGGGGACAGTTATATGGCTTCTTGGAGATCCTTCTTCAGCTATATGGCTTGTTTCAATTGGATCTGCTTCTGGCTTCTTCTTCTCTAGCTGTGGTGAGTCTGCAGCAGTGATGGAATCAAGAGATTCACCAAAAGTTGAATTAGTACTTTCGTAAGTTTCCAATTTGTTCATGTTAGTATACGATGGATCAGTTTCCAGTACAATGGAGTTTCCATTGGTTTGAAATTGTAAATTCTCTTCGTTTTTAGAATGCTCAGTCTCATCTGGAACTTTAGCTTCTTTTTCAATGTCATAGACTATAGCAGCCTCTGACCTATCCGGTGAATCGAGGGTAGATGAAATGGAAAGCTCGGTCCCACATTCAGAGCCACCAATTTGAACTGGTGGAGGATTGGAAACTGCACTTTCAGCTAACGGGGTTTCCTTGGAAGAAATGAGTGGTTCGTCTGTAGAAGAAGAAACCTTGTACAAACTAGATTCTTCAACTACAGGATCATGAGTAGCTGAAGTGGGTAGTTTTGTCGAAGTGGCAGCCAATCCCAGTTCTTCAAATTTCGATTGAGCAGCAATGAAAGCAGGATTACTCAACTTTCTTGATAACTTTCTCACCTCTGTTTCAGCTTGTTCAGTTTCAACTTCGTTTACTGTTTCCTCCGTTTCGGGGTGAGATATCACTTCCACCACCTCAACTAATTCTGCTTCTTTCGTTTCAAAGGGAGCGGGAGCAGATTCTGTTACGTCACATTTTGAATTTGATTGCTCAATGACATGCAGCAACTCAGAATGACCGATCAAAGTGCCATCATTCTCTGATGCTTCGATCGATGCTGCATCTTCACCAAATTTGAAGTCTCTCGACTCGGAATAACAATCAGATGGAACCAAGATGTCCTCTTTGGCATCAAAATGTTTTACAGCTGATGCAGATTCCTCTGGCCCTTCATTGCTCGGGGAGGAAACTGACATCCATCTTTCAAGCCATTGCCAAGCTGAGTCTGATTTTGACGGATCACACTTGATGTTGATAGGTTCGCTCCTTGGTGTTGATTCCATAAGCTTAGATAAAAAAACCAGGACACACGTCAAAATTCAACGAAATATAACATTAAATAATAAATCAAATATAAAAATCGGCTACGCCCTTTACCTGACGAGCAAAGGCATTGCTAAGTAGCTTATCAATGGAAACATAAGTGTATGGGCCTTTTGGTTTGGCTTCTTTCTTATTCTGAAAATGAAGAGATGATCTCACATCAGAATCACAAATTACACGAAAAACTGCAAAGACAAAATCCCGCATATTCGCCCATGTTCTAACAATATACGAAATGATTTTTCATCTCCCTTTCCACTCTTGCCCCCGCAAGCAAAGAAAATTTTGCAAGATGACACTAAAAAAAAGCCAATCATGGCATGCAACGTAGAGCAGATAAGATAAATAAGTTAAACTGTCATTACCAAGAAAGCAGAATCCTTATCATCTTTTCCATTGCTCTCACTCTGCTTCACAAAATCACCCGACCCTTCTACATTAAGACGGGCTTGGCGTTCTCTAACAAGAGCTTGCATTTTGATAATGGCTTGGACACACCGGAGAGTTCCAACAGCGTGCCTTCGAACCAAATGTCCTCTTACAGCAGCTTGCAACTTAATTATGTTTTTATGCTTCAATAGCACTTGTTGAGCCTGATAAAAAAAAAAACCAATAATGCATAATTATTTCTAATTAACTAAAAAATTGTAACCGCTACATCATGTTATATATCAAGTAATACCAGCAAACCCCTGATCGCAGCCTGGATGGTAACAACACTGGGTTCATCAAAAGTTGCATCTGCTCCACAGTCATCCTTACTAGGAGCTACTGTTTCTATTGTTTCTGCCAACTTAGACTCCACTTGAGCAGACAACTCAGCCTTCTCGTCTGCCCACTGAACAACCGAATTCTTCTCTGGGACAGTCAAATCGGGCTGCGCCTGGACGTTTGCAGCAGCAGATTCTGGGTTCTCCTTGTTCACAGATGAAGGGGCTTCTGAAGTAACACTGTTGCTCAATACTCGATGTTTTGGAGATTTCTTCCGGAAACTCCATCCACGCCGATCACCTGAACCCTTGCTCTGCAAAAGAAGTTCGAAAAACATTAATGAAGGATACAGATATTTTCCCTGAACCATAAATGCTCGTAAATGGAGAGGATAAATGCTTTTACGGGAAGACAACACGTGGACCAATCACGCGTCACCTCCTTAATATTACGTCACGAGTACATTTATGATCAATATACAAATAAATATTTTGAATATTAAAGTTCATTAATGTGCATCTTATTAGCCTATCAAATTAGCTAGCATTGTTGTTGTGCCTTCTACTTTATTCGACTACCTAGCAAAGCAACCTCATGCATTAAGGCAGGTCTGTCAGGCAAGTGAATATAACCAAGTGAATACTGATATTTGGGTTAGAAATCCTCGGACGAAAAAAAATCAGAATCTCCAATATTTAATTATTTCACATGATGTAACCACACACCACCTCCTTCCCTCAAACCAAAAACAAAGGCCAGTCCGTAAAAGAAACATTATAATTAACACTACTTATTTAATTTGCAAATCTCTTAAACTAGCATGCAAGTAGCTTACTCATCTAAAAATAAAAAAATCATTTATAACAAAGTTCAAATGAAGATTGTAATAAATCTGTTTTATTCAATTGCAAAGCCCATGCTCAATGAACAACTGAATCTCGACATTAAAATCCACTTGCGGCGCTTCTCTGGAAAAGAAACAGTCCGAAGGGAATATGCTGCGCTCCTCCGAAAAAAACAGCCATCGATTCCATTTGTTATCAGTGGCATATTCTGCTACTTCCAAGTTCCAACTATGAATTAGGTACTTGGCATGCAGATAATAAAGACTATTGCATACTATATTATACATAAACTGACAAACCACAGTAAGCATCCATCATGAGACGAGATCATGGTTGCTCTATCAGAACTTGAATTTTGAAAGAATTAGGCCACAATTTTTTTAGTTAAAATATATGCTGTTGAAAACATTAGATCAAGCAATACAGGTGGTTAATATTATTTTACATGCTGCTTGCGTTACATTCCTACCATGTGCCTACAAGAAAGAAAATAATGAGAATAAAAGCATAAAGTTGGATCAATATCTTAGAAAACTTAATAGTAACAAAGATAAACTCTATCTCTTATTTAGTTACGTTCCTATTCTATAATCCTTTTATCGAAATTCTTCGAACACATTGCTTGGGCAACCACCTAAACTACTAGGCGCTGCACATTGTCAAGTTTTAATGTGTGTCATGATGCATATAACATAAGACTCTAGACTTTATTGCCTCTATTAATGGATGAACCCGGTTTTTACAAGTAATTAAAATACAAAATTAAAAAAATAAAATATTAACTTTTTAAAAAATATTACTACCAGAATCAATGGACATTTCTTTATGTGGAAACGAAAATCTAAAAACAGAAAGAATTTTTTTTTAGCTTAGGTCATATAATCTAAAGCTCGTTTGTTCAAGACAAACGTGGTATCAAACAAATAACATTGATGTCATCATATCATCAACAACAAACGGACATTCGATAGTGATCACTGCACTTTGCAGCCACTGATCCTCCAGCACAACACTATACGGCAATCACCTGAACTCTGTCTATGAATTTGGATGAACATAGCAAATCAATTAAAGATAATAACAAATGAGATCAAAGTGGATTCGGATTTATGACGATGCATCAACGAAATAAGGAAACATATCAATGTTGCATCTATTAATTAATTCAAAATTGCACCTATTAACTTCAATCAAATCAACTGTTCCACAACCACAGACAGATCCAGTTCGGCGACAAATTCGCTAATAGATTTAACACCAAAATCTCCAATAACAGCATTCAAATATCCACTTAATTCCGACATTTCAAAAAAACAATAATAAAAGAAATAAATTCACTCTCATTGATCCGGTGATCCCATCACATTTCAGTATTCAAAACTCAATCAAATCCATTCTCACTGATCCTGTAATAGATTCAGTCATCAAATAACAAGCAAAAAAAATCAAATTCAAGTCCAATCAATTAAAACCAGATGCTCGTATAAAACAGCATAAAAATTCTAACCGCAGATGTTTCACGCACATCAAAATTAAAAAAAAAAAAAAAAAAAAAAAGAGAGAGAGAATTGAACAACAGCGAGAAAAAAAATTGAACTCGTAGAAATTTACTTCGGGAGTTTGGAGATCATCGTGGTCGACGGAATCGCTGCCGCAGCTGATGATCTTGAAGCACGACGCAGTTGATTTCCCCATGACTTTCTCTCTCTAAAAAAAATTGTCTGACGACCTCACTCTCACTTTCTCTCTCTAAAAAAAATGGTGTGCTCCTTTATTTCTTTCTCTCTCTTCTTTTGCTGAGACTAGGCTACCACTCTACAGCAGCATTAGCATATGCAAGCTATGACTGAGGCTGTTTTTTTCTTTTATTTATTTATTTATTTATTTCCCTGAATGCCCAATTTGAAAGTGTGATTATTGGAAATTGAGCCTGATAAAGAGGGCAATTTGGGGAACAGCGGACCTCAAAATATCTCCTTAAATCTAGTTCACTTTTGGGTTTGGATTCCGGGTACATAGCTCTGTTTCTTTTCCTCGTTCGAACCTTCTTTTGTATCCTACATTATTATATCCGTTGGAAGGATGATTTGGTCATTATTCATTTTACTCATTCCTAGGTGGATTCTTTATACTATTATTTTTTTTATTAAATTCTATTAATAAATTATTAAAATGCAACATATTTTCTTTCAATTAGTAATTAATAATTATCATTTTTTCTTTAATGTATGTAGATCTCTCGTAAAATAGCTCAAAAAATTACACGAGACTAGAAAGACATGTGGACGAGTTGTCGAGTTGGATCTATAAAGTGTTGCTGCTGAAGAGAAAAGAGGGATCGAAAATAATTGAAATTTAATTTAGTGTTTAGTTTGTCCATTGTTTTTATTTCGCTCAGTCAAAAGAGGGATCGAAAATAATTGAAATTTAATTTAGTGTTTAATTTGTCCATTGTTTTTATTTCGCTCAGTCGTAATTACGGAAAAATAAAATCTTTTATTTTGTTAATAAATGGCTAAATATTAATATTTGGGATTGCTAAAATAGTGATAAAAAGATGTTTTATTCACGAGAAATAGGTTTCTTATTATTATTATTATTATTATTATTATATATATATATATATATATATATATATATATATATATATATATATATATATATATATTCGTGGTTGCTGTATTAATCTCGTGAATATAGAAATGCTGTAGCTTACCGGGTACAAACTTTAAGCAAATTAAATGATTCAAATAATGGACTTATATAACAAATGATGAATCTGAATGATACCTATGTTTGGATTATTGCCAACTAACAAATAAATTTACTAACAAAAATATGCACTGCTCCAAAATATAACTTTATGCTTAAGTCAGTGTTGTTAAAAATTAATTGCATTTTTCCTTGAATTTAATAGATTTTTTATAATTATTATTTGCTCAATAAATAAATAAAGCACCAATTTTTTTCCAAGGCTTGAAAGGGTGTAATTGTCAATATGCCATGTGAGAGTGAAATATCCTAATTAATAATTTAATTTGATCAAAGAAGGAATCATTATCATTGACATCATTATCTTAAAAAAATCAACTTAAATTTCATTATGATGTTTGGATGACTAATAGTTGATGATTAGTATTAACACTAATTAATTGGGATTTCTGTTAATAATGATTAACCAGTCAATCATCAAATTGTCAATATTCAAAAAAGAAAAAAGAAAAAAATAAATAATTAAATTAAAGTGTGGGGGATAGGTTCATCATCAAGGCTGTGGCTTACTCATGCTTTTCTAAACAATAATTATTACCAAATAAGAAGTGAAGAGTGTAAATAATAAATAGAAAACTAATTAAAATAATACTTTACAGATATTTTTCCATAATATACACATATTTATTTGTTTACTCAATTAAAAAAATTAAATTTAAATATTATGGGCTCAAACTCATCGCTAAAGACATCGGTCCAATTACAAGCAAATGCCCAATATATACCTCCAGCCCATAAGGAAATTAACTAAGTATATAAATAACTTAATTGTCATTAGAGGCAATAAATGGAAATTTTAATCATCTTTTATGTTTTTCGAGGTGCTCTTTAGAATCTGATTGGAGGATTTTTGTTGGAACCAAGTTTTGGCGTACTAATTTGTGTTCGTAATGCTATCGTTTTTCCAACCAAAGAAGATTCTTGAGAAGTTCCAGTGGATCGTAACGCATCACAATTATTTTAAAACGAATGGAGTACAAGCGTGTTGAGTTGAATTTACTATCGAATAAGAAGTAGAGAAAATAAAAGTAAATCATAATTAAAAAAAAAAACATGCCAATATGTTTGGTCACATGTACTGAACATAAAATTGAGAGGCAAATAGAATAAATAAGGTGGGACCGACAATGAATTATCATGTGAGTGCAGAGGAGGACAGATAATTTTGTCTTAATTAATGATTAATTAAAATTTAAAATACCTTAATGATTGAATTAGACAAACATTAATTAAATCAACAGTGAAGACTGAAGAGGAAGCAAACGGTGTTAATTGGAGAAAGAACGCCGTTGAAAGAAGGAACACAGTTTCACAGATTCTTTTGCGGAAACATTACGCCACGTGTCAGACAGCGCGACCGACACGGTAGCCGGCACATGGGGGCAGGCTGACTGGTCAGATGTTTTGGAGCAGTGATCGTCTGCGCCGCACCTGCTGCTGCAGGTTCTGTGATTAGCATATTTTGCCCAATTCCTTTCAGATCAGACTTTCAAATTGGATTTCACCCAATTAAAAACTCAAATTAAAATTATGGGTATTAATTTTAATTATATATCTTTTTAAGTTCCACATTTTATTTAGAACTTATGAGATATTAAATTGTCTTTTAAACATAAAATAAGCTCTTTTTTTTTTTTTTTTTTTATTGCATATATAGTCACTTGTAAAGTGTAAACTCTAAAAAACCTTGTAATAATCTTATAATATTAAAAAATATATATAGACGTTTGTTTAGATGGTGTTTGTTTAACAACTTTTTAAAGATTAATTTAACGTGTCAAGAAATTGAGTTGGACCTAACCCACGATACTCTTAGAAACCATCTTATGTTTTAATTAATAGTTTAATACAACTATACTTACAAAAGCATAAGGTCAATATCTAGGTGTATATATTATTATTATAAATATTATGATATATATATTTATTACAAAGTAACGTTGAAAAGCATGAAAGCTGAAAAGTTAAGGTGAGAAATATAAAATGGTGGATTGAGAGTGTGCATCATGTAGTCGATGCCTTCAATTGGAAACAATCTATATGAATTGATATATATATATATATATATATATATATATATATATATATACACACGATTGCAGGTCGAGTTTGTTACACATGGTTAATCTAGTGTGGTTTACATTTTTTGTGTGGTTTACAAGCTAATATACGAGAGTGAAAATTTATCCAGTGTACCTACAAAAGTTTGCTTATCAAATTTATTATGATAAGGTTTTATTGAGGTTGATTATTTAATTAATTTAATGGTGGTGTGAGATTGTATTAGTTGCAAGGCTTTTGTCTTCTTTTGGTTGAGTGAAGTTATTGCACAAGACCCACAAATTGGTCCCTCTTTAAGCACTTTATTTCTTTATATCCCCAAAGTTTTGTCCTCTTGCCTAAGAAATTCATTAAAAAAACATAACTTAAAGTGGACAAAGAACAATAGAACATGCAAAAGCACAGGTAATCAATCCAGTAAATTTTATATAGTTTTACCTATAAAAAAGAACAATTAATTCAAAATAAACATTTTTTATTTGCAAAGAAAAAGTAAAAATGGTTGATATAATGCATTATTATACAATTATTTACAACGGTTGATTATTTTCTAAGTAGGAATTTGTTTTGGTTAGCAATCACTCTCATGTAGAAAAAAATTAAAAAAAAAATTAATCATTAAAAAACCCTAATCCAGTTTCCAATTTAATCCTCAAAACGATTTTAAATTGTAAGAGAAACAATGTATGTATGATCAGCAAGTACTCTTAAAATTAATACAAGGTTCAGATAAAAATAAAGAGCAAATTACAATTAAAACAAACACTACTAGAGATCATTAATCTTTTCCATTCTTCTATCTCTATCTTTCCTTCTTTCTTACCCAAAAAAGAAAAAAGTCGAAATACACGGGAACTTCTAGAATCTTCGCCCTTCTCCCACATAAAAAGGTTAACTTAACTCAAAATCAAATGCATCGAAGAAAATCGGAGAAGGAAATTAAAACGAAAGTACTACATTATAGCGGCACCGTTAATAATACAATAAATAAATACGGACACCGAGGCTCATGACTTCCTAGGTCTTCCCCTCTTACCCGTACCTTTTCCTTCACTACTCTTTGTGGCTTTCGGCTCTGATGGGGGCCGCCCCCTCCCACGACCGGTGCCTTTTTTCGCAGGGGCTGCACTTTTGCCTCTTCCTCTACCGGAAGATCTCCCACCGCCTCTTCCCTGTTTTGATTGACCGTTGGATATTTCGTCACTGTTTTCACTTTCGTACTCGCTGTTGTTTTCATCCTCTGACGAACTTTCTGAGTTATTCTTCCTCTTATTCGAGGTTTGAGATTTTTTGGCTGGACCCTTTTTCGGAGCTTTTTCAGCCACGGTTTCGTCATCAGGTTCTTCCGTTACTGCATCATGGAAAATTCAGAAAAACACAAAATTAAAATTATATTCAATTATTCGCAGTAGCTGCCAAACCATGCTAGAGATAAAAACATATCTATTTTAACTATACCTTCAACAGCGGCTTTGCCGTCATGTACTTCAAGCTGTCAAGAAAAACGCAAAATTAAAAGTTGAAAAGATAATTGATAGTTGGGAATTGCACTCAATTTTACATGTTCAAGAAAAAAAGTGCATAAAAGAAAATATTATTATACCTGCTCAAGCCGATCAGCAATATTGGCTCGATCAACAACCACCAAGGAATGCGCAAGTCCACAGGCAGCACTACAGTGAATCATAGCCCAAAAAAGAAATCCTATAAGATGTAAGAGAAGGCAAGGATAAATCTCTATATTTTTAGAAATAGTACCAAGTACCAACCTTATGACATGCATTCCCTCAAGGATGTCCACTTTTTTAGGGACTGCAGAAGATCTACAACGAGACAAGAATATAAAATATTGACATAATTCTAGATAGAGCTTTAGGAGAGCACAAAAGTGTGTGTATGTGTGTGATGCAAACTTTTATATATTGAAATAACCATATACTTTTGGCCATGCGGTCCGTATCCAAGCTCCCCAGATTGTGCATGGCCCCAGCTTATGCATGAAGAATCAGCACCTACAAAGTGGTGCATGTTTCCCGAATCCATGCAACGTATATTCCAGCCACTGTAGATTATGTCAGCTTGTCACTCATAGATACAATCCATTTTTGGTGCAATTAAAATCCTACTCTTATATTATGAACATCCTTCAAATTTGAGTTCTGTCAAAAGGTATCTCTTATATTTCGAACAGGCCTCAGAAACCAAATTTTCGTTTTCGATGATGAAGATAAGATTATTTTTGCATTTTATAAACCAACATACACAGACTTAGTTTTTTGTCCAGAAATGATTAGTTAATTACGGTTAACATTCAGACAATTAAAACAAACAATGTATCAGTGATGCAAGAAGTAGAAACCTCAAATCCATCAAAGGCTTCGGGTACATCCAATCATCCCCACTGGTCTTTATTTTGCCCCACATGTAAAGCTGTCCACCTCCTGCAGAAATAGCAGATTCAGTGAAGCAATTTGTTCGTAACACCCAAAAATGTCTCTTTCAGTCCAACATTAAAAAAAAAAAAAAAAAAAAGAGATAAAGAGAACGAAAATCATACCAGCTGTACATGCACAATTGGCAGAACCGGCAGAAACAACAGCATCCGCAGGCAACACATTGTGCCTTGTGAAAACATCTACACGGCGCGGTGAAAATTCATCCTTCTGTTCTCTGTGCCCAAGCCTTCCATAACCACCATAGCCCCATCTAATCAATTCAAAACAAGAAACGCAGAAAATCAGGTTTGTTTTTCACCAAGAATTCCAGAATACATAAAACAACACAAAGTCTACCACAGCAAACTTACGTGTAAACAAATCCATTCTTATCAACTGCCACTGAGATCAGACAAAAGAAACAAACAGGACTACATATTAACTATCTTACAGAAACAGATGATAAAAAATTAGTGCTGGAAATAAGAATTGAAAGCGGAACGCAAATTAATTGTATGAAAACCTGTATGATTAGTTCCACAAGCAACTTTTACTATCGTCTCTCCAGCAAGAGCGGCTATAGCCTTGGGGCGAGGTTGGGCTTCATAAGCAAGCCTCACTGAGCTGTCTTTGGTATTATACTGCCAGTGAAAGAATATTGCTTTCAACAAAAACACATCAACTAAAATATTTGAGTAGAACGGAAACAATGTAACAGTTAGGCATTATTGAGATATCATGAAACAGAGATGAAAACTTCTATATCATCAAAGATGCAAAAGGGCAATTTAGAGATAATCATATTTCACATCAGAACATAGAATCGCAAACAAATATCTACAGCTAGAAAGTCAAAAAGTACCAAATAAACAATAAGAAATTTGCTCTCTTGATCCTACCTCATTGTCGGTACCATGTCCAAGTTGACCATATTGTGGAAGACCAGCAGTTCTGGATGGAATAGATTTTTTACCAAAAGAAGAAAAATATCAGCGCTTGTCCAATAGATAAGCAAAAGAACAATCAATTAACCAGATATAGTCAGGTAAAATTTAGAACAAAGTTTAAAAACCATACATTATAGAAGATCCTTCAACAGAAGTCAACCACACTGTAAAATCACCTCCACAAACGGCAGTTTTGACTTCAGATACTTGACAACGAATGGGAGAAGATTCAATTTCTGTGACAAAAATGGCAAAATGTTAAGGCCATCACTAAAGTATATTAATAATGAGATAAATCGGGAAAGCCCAAGTTATTGAATGCATAAAATATTAATGCACACAATAACAGTCCAGATAAGACTACTCATTACAAGCATTTCCACTCAGTAGTATCGAATTGCAAAACAAACACATAAGAAAGAAATTTAACAATGACCCCTTTAGCCGTTCCAAGTACAGATTCTTAAACATGTTCTGTCAAATAGAAAGCACAATTATGAAATCTACCATCAATTTCCAAAGTAAAGACAAACATAAATCTACATTAGCAAACAAGTTAATCAATTCAACTTCCACGAACATCAATAGTTGTCCCAGAGAATATGCAAAGTATTACCTCTTAAAATCACAATACTCAAATGTTATTCATGTCTAAGGTCCGAGTCCATTATTATTTCCAAATATATTTGACTGATTTCATACCGACAATTTATTCCTGCAGCTTGTAGAAAGTAGGCTTAGTTTACTATATGTATTAATGAATGAGTCTAAAAGAACTTAGAACTCATAATTAACAACAGATCGGGAAAAAAAAATTATAAAAAAAAATACCCCAAAACTAGTGATCAGTTATACTAAATGTTCCATATTTCAATCCAATTTTGTAATTGCAGAGAAACTCAATATAACAGAATGTAAAGCTAGCAAAACCAGATCACTGGATAGGAAATAACAAAGAAGTTTAACAATGACATAAAATACTATTTCGAATGTCAAATAAAGTCCAATGAGTCTCTTTGACACATCGAGAAACCCGTACAGATCAGAAATTACAAGGAAAATCTGAAAGAAGTGACCAATAAGACAATCACAAGAAGATTTCAAATAAAGTTCTCAAAAACAAGTAATTTATCTCAATTCAGAGACATAATTCACATGGAACGACAGAACAGATTATTACCCTAGTGTAACAGAACCAAAAGATAGTATAGCCCTTATCCATAATAAGATGACAGCAAAAGGCGACAACCAAAATAAATCCCAAGAATGTACAGAAAGAACAAATAGGACCTCAAACTGCAACGAAGATATAAAGTTATATACTTTCTCAAGCTGAAATATTTAAAGATGTTAACAAAAATAACAGCTATCCGGTAAGTATATTATACTTCCAGTCCAAAGAATACATGTAAGATAACAAAATCAAGTTTCTGTATGTGAGATTCAGACACAATTGACTGCACTGGGACACTACGACACTTCAATTAAGCAATTAAAATCAAGAATTTCGGAGATAAATCTGAGTGTCAAACACTCAAACTCACCAGTTTTTGCTGAACCTGAACCGAGCTGCCCATGCTTATTCCAACCAAAGGCAAGAGAGATCCCATCTTCAGTCACTACCACTGAATGACTCCTTCCAGCCGCCGCTTTAACAATTTTATGCCTAAAATTAAGTGTGCTAGTTAATTGGCAAGCCTAACATTATTCAAGAACAAGTTATTCAAATAGCAGGAATAGAATTGGTCGTTTCATCATATTCCGGACTTTAATGAAGAGTACGCAATTTTCGTTTAAACAAAAAGGTACTGTTAGAGGATTATCGTACTGGGACAATTCTGAAACAATAGTCGGCCTATCTCGCTGAACTTTATCCCCATGACCAAGCTGCCCTTTCTGCGCATATTACAAAACACAAGAAATGCACAATCAATAAGTAAAGATTAAGGAGCTAACACTGAAATTGTTCTAGCTAACAGAACCCAACATACGTCATTGCGCCCCCACGTGTAACAGCGCCCTTGTACATCCAATGCCACACAATGGCAAGACACTACATTTCACAATAAAGCCAATATCAAATTTCCCCACACATTCAAATTTAAGAAAAGGCCAATAAACATTCAAAATCATCAAACCTAGACCAAAAAAATTTAGAAAACATAAAATCCAAATTCAAACAAAAAAAATCATTTTTTTCTATCTTTTATTATTATTTTTTTCCTTTACCGCATCCAGCAGCAACAGAGCGAATTTCCACCCCCATAAGCGGGCGCAGCCTCGTCGGAGAGACCAAATTTTCCTCCGGCGAGGTCCTCCGGCGTCCCATTGCATCCCACGCCGTCGTACCGCAGAAGAGTAGCTCCCCGCCCTTGACCTCCTCCACCTTCTTCTCCTCCTCGACCAGCGCCATCTCCCGCCAACTCAACCGCTCAAAAAAAATTCAAAAAAATGCGAAACCCGAGATCCGGACAACCGGTCGAACGACGGCGGAAAACGCGAGTAATTACGGCGACGAACCGGCGGAGAGGTGGGATTCCGAAGAAGAAAAGGGGGGGATTTTTTTAAAGTTGAAAACCCTACTGCAGAGATAACCAACCACTAGTAATTTGCTTTGCTTTAATTTTAATTTTTGTATTTGCAGTGGAAAAGGGGAGAGCTGAGTGGGGATAAGGGATTTCACTCTGCGGTTTCCGAGATTTTTGATCACTTTAATTTGGTAATTAATAAATAATTAATAATTAATCTAATTTAATTAGTTTTTAATTATTTCAAGAAATTAAACTGAAAAGGAGGGGCTGTTTGGGTGTCGTTGTCAAATAGATTTCGGCTTTTTTTTGCCTTTTGTTTGTCTTTTGTAGGGTTTTAAGGGGGTTCCCGCCCCGCGAGTTTTTTCCTATGAATATTTGGGGTTCCTTCGACCCTACACCTAGTGATAAATATCGGGTGGGTCTTCTGCTGTCACGTGTTCTTTTTTTATTTTTCTAAACCCCTAAGATAAATCCTAGTGGGAAATCTATTATAAAATATAAAAAAGAGACACGTGGCAGCAGAAGACCCACCCGGTGTTTATCACTGGGTGCAGGCCCGTTTCTGAGAATTTGGGGGCCCTAGGCGAGGTTTAAAGAACAACTGAAAACAGGGGCCCCTATTTGATAAAACTTTTTTCTATTAACGGGGGTGTTCGAAATTGAATGTATTAAAAAAATATAAATAATATTTTCTAAAAATGATGAAATAAAATATTATGGGGGTTTGAGGGCGGTGCCCCCGAAATATTTTTTGAAATGTATGAATATAAAGTAGCTAAAAATGTGGAAAAATATTCAAAATTAACAATATGATTTGCTCGTTCACTTCTTCCCGTGACGTATAATCTTTATAGTAGGGCTGGGACTGGTTGGTTTTTATCCACCAACCGACCCATTACCGACCATATTTTTAGGCGGATAATCAATTTTTAACCGACCCATTGGATCGGGTCGAAAATTTCAACCAACCCATCTATAATGGGTCGGTTGATGGTTTCTAATATTATCAAAATTTGGTTGACCGATAATTATCGGTTATCCAACTATACTATTAAAATTTTGTTAAAAATATAAAACAAAGGTCATGTTTTCTTAAGTGGTTATTGAAATAATCAAAATTATTAGTATTTTAAATTTTAAAACTATCAATAAAGGAAAAAAATTTGACATAAATCTTCATCCAGTTTCTTTATGCCCAATCTTAAACAAAAAGCTCCGCAAAACTCCACTAAATATCTTGTGCATGTTTGAAATTACATCGAATTTCCTAATTATATTTTTTCGTTAAATTGTTATTAATTATTTTGAACTAATAAATGATGATCGCACCGTGGCATTACGCAAAATATGGATATTTTTACTCCAAAATTTGACTTTTTTTTAAGTAAACTATGTGGCGGGTATAAACCATCAATCGACCAATTTCTGAACCAAATATTCGGTTGCCAACCATCAACCAACCCACAAAGGTTGGGTCGGCAATGGTTTTTAAATTTGAGCAAAAATGGTTTGACGGATGGGTCGGTTTTTAGGCTGGTAATCGACCGACCCAACTCAGTCTCAGCCCTACTTTATAGCAAATAGACTTCATAAATATTTATAAACTTGAATACACTAATGAATATTGATTCTTATTTACCAACCCTCATTAGGAGAGTTGCTACCTAGCCTTTACCAATAGGGTAAAGGTCTAGGGTTCGAGTTCCCCCCTCCCCTACTTTCCCTGACTTGAATTTACTCAAAAAAAATATTGATTCTTATTTTAGAATAAAAATAAGTAATTACGACGTTATAAATTTAATATTTAGGGGCCCCAAAGTTAGGGAAATGGCAAAAATATCGATTGATCATTTAGCTTAAATTTATTTTAGAACCGATGTTCCAAAATATTATATATAATAAATTATTAAAAATAAGTACTAATATATAAAGTGTAAATAAAATAATTTGGGGGCCCCAAAATTTCGTAAATATTCGGGGGCCCTAAGCGACCGCCTACTTCACCTCCCCTCAGAACCGACCCTGACCGGGTGTAGGGTCGAACAAATCGATATTTGGGGAATACATAGGTTAACACTTTGTAAAAATTAAAATTAAATTATAGCAAAATATTTGTTAATCTTAAAATCTCATTTGAGTATTGAGTAATTTCAATTTTCAACCGGGTGTAGGGTCTAACAAATCGATATTTGGGGAATACATAGGTTAACACTTTGTAAAAATTAAAATTAAATTATAGCAAAATATTTGTTAATCTTAAAATCTCATTTGAGTATTGAGTAATTTCAATTTTCAACTATAATTATTTCATCTTTTCTTAATATTAGTAATTTGCCCGTGCCATTCAATTACAGATTCAATTACAGGATAAACTACTAGTCCATGTGCACTCGATAATTATATTTCAAAAGTAATAACGGATCCATTAATTATAGTACACTATTTTTTAAACAGGATGAAAACATTTAACTTGCATTTCAATTATTAAATACTAATTAGTGAAAGAAAAAAAAAACTTTTCTATGTCTTCTCTTTTCACATGATAATTAATTAGTAGAGAATTAATATTATATTTTTATAATTATAATTTATATGAATAAAATATCCCTAAAGATTAATATTTTATTATTAGAAAAATTATAAAATATATAAAATTATATAAGCATCACCCACTCGGATAACCCGGACAATGCGTTTATGATGTAAATGTCATAACAATTTGAAACCATAAGTGAGAGTTTTAATATCCACCGATCTGGTACATTATATCGATTTGATCTAACATTATATAACGAGTAACTAGAGAAGCCCTACTATGTAAAACACAATAATACAATGTTCTAGAGAAACCCTACTATATAAAACAAAAAATAATGCAATGTTCTACAAGTATCCGGTCAAGATTAACTTGATCTAACATTATATCTGTACTAGTAGCTAGAGAAACCCTACTATTTATAATAACATTATATTCTTTGCACTGTATTCACCATGGATGACGGAAGCTATACGCGATTTAGTTCAAGGGTAACGATGCGCGCTTAGTCGGTACCCTTCGACGAGGTTGTTTAGATACTATAAGGCTATCCTCTTTAATAAGAGGTCTGAATATTTCGGTCCATTTCTTACACACTGTTGTACAGATGCATCCCGAGTTTAAGGATACTTTCGAAAGAACTAGCCGCGTCAGATCTGCATTATTCCATACTTTGTATGCAGCCTCGCTGCTGCCATCGTATTATCCCGCCACCTATACAGACCCACCGGAACCACCGGTTTCTTGATTATTTCTGGTGGTTCCATTGTTTGTTCATGTTTCCCTCGCCCTTCCAGACCCACCGGAACCACCGGTTTCTTTATTGTTTCCGGTGGTTCCATTGCTTGTTCCTGTTTTCGCCGCCCTTCCAGTTTTCGGTGGTTCCATGAATATACTGAAAAAATAAAAATAATATTTTTCTGAAAATGATGAAATTTCCAGATCCACCGAAACCACCGGTTTCTAAATTATTTCCGGAATATACTAAAAAAATTGTTTATGGAATATACTGAAAAAATAAAAATAATATTTTCTGAAAATGATGAAATAAAAGATTACGGGGTTGGAATATTTTTTGAAATGTATGTATATAGAATAACTAAAAATATGGAGAAAAAAATTCGAAATTAATAAAGTGTATATCAAATATTTTGTAGGCCCTAAACTTCCGTAAAACATCCGGGAACATGTTTGCGTAATATGTTTTTTTTTTTTTTTTTTTCAATTTTAATTTAAACGAAAGTATGTAATAATTTAGTTTCATTAAATTCCAAATACACCGTGCACTATAAAAATATGCTAAAAAAATTAATTCATTGTATAATTGGCTGAAATAAAATGCTACATTATGCCAAATTTCCATAATTATTCCATTATAGATAAATCAACTATTTGAAAGTTAATCCGTGGCGCGAGCAAAATGGCATTTACTCAATTAAGGTAAAATAATAATAATAATTAAAAATAAATAAATAAAAATCGATAATTCATATAACTAGGCGGGGCTTTTTTCGCTGGCAGTTATTCGTATGCCAGTTAATAAATAGCCTCCAGGTGAGCTCATCTGCATATGTGGATGAGTTCTTGATGGAAGAACCTGCAATATGTAAGATAATATGTAATTACTACGAGTAACAGATAGTATTACGAGCCGTTTTCAATAAAAATTATTTTTATTAAAAATATTGGACATTATATAGAGTATCGAGAGTTGTACCTGATACTCACGCAACCAAGATTCCGAAATTTGCAAGCTGATGGCCATTTTCTCCGTCTGCAGATTGTGCATGCATGTTGCTAGAGATTTTTCTTGTTCTTGTTTGTTTAACCAGATGAGACGATTAAGATAATTAATTACCTGGAGATATACTACTGAATACTGATAAATGACGAGTGGGGCCGAGTAATTAATATTATATTTTTGTAATTATAATTTATATGAATAAAATATCCCTAAAGATTAATATTTTATATTAGAAAAATTATAAAATATATAAAATTATATAAGCGTCACCCACTCGGATAACTCGGACAATGCGTTTATGATGTCCATTAACGTATATGTCTGGTGCCACTGCAGCAGTGACACCATACATCGCCATAGTAGGAGTCAACGCTCCTCGTGCGGCTCCAGCCGTAACACAACCACCACTAGAAGGTAACTCTCACCAAGCGAGTGTGTCGTGGGCATCTACTTCGAACCTTAAATTCCGTACAACAACTCACCACGGAGAATCATCTGCGATCATACGCTGAAGGTCCTCTTCGGTTATCAGAACCGTTCGAGGAGCAAGGAGAAGTTGATCATGTTGAGGACCAAGTAGGGCATCGCGATGGGAGCGTTCGCTTCCTTTGTGATGATGTATGGTGCCACTACTTCAGTAGCCCGAGTTGAAGCTTCCGCGATCGTACGTTGAAGGTCCTCATCGGTTATCTGAACCGTTCGAGGAGCAAGTAGAAGTTGATTTTGTTGAAGCTTCTGCGATCATACGCTGAAGGTCCTCATCGGTTATCTGAACCGTTAGAGGAGCAAGTAGAAGTTGATTTTGTTGAAGCTTCTGCGATTATACACTGAAGGTCCTCATCGGTCATTTGAACCGTTCGATGAGCAAGTAG